TTTAATCCCAGCACTCGGGAGGCAGAGCCAGGCGGATCTCTGTGAGTTCAAGGCCAGCCTGGGCTATCAAGTGAGTTCCAGGAAAGGTGCAAAGCTACACAGAGAAACCCTTTCTCAAAAAACCAAAAAAAAAAAAAATGTTCTGGAGACCCTGTCTTAACAAAACATAAGTGACCAGGGGTGCTAACGAACACCTGTAATCTCAAATACATGGGAGGTAGAAACAGAGGATCAGAAGTTCAAGGACATCACACTGAGACCAAGCCAGTCTGAGCTCCAGGAGACCCTTTCTCTAAAGAACAAAACCACTTACATGTTGCTATGTGACAATTTCATTTTAAAAATATTTTAGTAGCTGTTCTTTAACAGGACTGGTTTCTTTGTAAGCCCATGACACTGCTCACATATTATTCTAAAAATGTCCATTGGCGTCACTGGTCCATGGCATTAGACTTTTAGGAATCCCAATCAGATTCCATAGCCCAGGCCATCAGCTACTTGAAGGCAGTTTTAGCTTTGTCATTTGCAAACTGAAAGTCCCTGGCATGCTATTTCAGGAGAGAACTTGTCATTAAGAAGCAGTGTCTTGGGAGGGGCTGGAGCAGGAAATGGGATCCTCCTGCTCACAGGGCAGCAATACTGTCCAGTAGCAGTTTCGGTGGGGGAGGGAAGGCCAGCAAAAACAGATGATATTGAAAGAGCATAGTCTAGGTTCCTGGGTGTCTATGGGAGGTGTAGTTGACTCCGTCACAGGAGTTTGCGCTACCACACAAGGGAGCAGAAACCCTATGTGTCCTTATGCTCAGTGATTTACGCATGTTACTGGTTACCTCACAGTAAGCCACTTTGGTGGGTTTTATTTTTGCTACTCTGTCGGAGCACACCAAAGTCCAGAAAAAAGGTTTGCTTAACTAACCTATTTCATCCAGACATGAAACTAGACCGAGGGCTGGAAAGCATTTGGAAAATTCATTTTGCTAGGAAGCTGGATCCCGTGTGAGGTGAAAGGATGTCACGTTTTTTGGTGGTAGGAGTGGGTGGAGAGATGTCAAGTGCCAGGCAAGGCTTTAGTATTAAAGCGGTGGTCCTCAGCCTTCCTAATGCTGCGACCCTTTAATACAGTTCCTCAGATTGTGGTGACCCCAAACCATAAAATTATTTTCACTGCTACTTCATAACTGTCATTTTGCTACTGTTACGAATGGTAATGTAAATCTCTGATATACAGGATATCTGTTATTGTGACCTCCAGTGAAAGGGTCGTTCAACCCCAAAGGGGTCACGACCTATAGGTTGAGAAACATTTTGTTAAAGTAACTAGGGGAGTCAGGGAAGACGCCACGAAGCACTTACACCCAGGAAAGAGCAGGGCCCGTACATTCAGAACTCATATTCCAAATGGTGCCTGAATCTCCACCCCAAGTGTAGAGGACCCCATGGGCCCTCTATGTCTTTTCTTCTGGCTGACTCTCCAGAGCCTCCCAACATCACATCCAATTCCCACCCGACGTTCTCCTCTGAGTAGACTAAATAAATACCCGTCAACAGATCTCGGGCGCTAGAGCCCTCAGCTGAGGCCTCTCCGTTCCTTAACCTTTTCAGTAACTCCCCCTCTCACCTGAGTCCAACTTAACAAAAGCACCCAGAGCCCAAACATTCATCTTCAATGGGGATTGCCAGCTCATCTACTGAATCCCAGCAGGATGGCTTCAGCCTATGCGCTGATGACTATGTTTCAAAATGAGACTGAACTCTCTCTGAGAAAAAATATGAATACACAATAAAAAAATACTCAACGTTAAAAAAAAAAGATGATGATGAATGTCTTTGCGGTGTGTTTTTCCTTCAAGTGATAGGAAGGCACTTGCATAAATGCTTGTTTTACATGTTCGCTTGTTATTCATACAAAGGTTAGCTGGACACACATCAGTGACATTTGAAATGGTATGTGAAAGGTCAGGCTATATACAAGAAGCATTTTCTAAACAGATGCCATTTATGGAAAGAACTCGGGGAGATAAATCAGTAAACAAGATAGGTTCTCTAGCCAAGCCAGCGGTGGCGCACACCTTTAACCCCAGCACTCGGGAGGCAGAGGCAGGCAGATCTCTGAGTTTGAGGCCAGCCTGGGCTACAGGGTGAGTTCCAGGATAGCTAGGGCTGTTACACAGAGAAAACTTGTCTCAAAAAAACAAAACAAACAAACAAAACAAAACAAAAAGTGTTGTGCCCAGATCATGACCCCCAGAGAGACCACCAAAGACGAGCATGCCGGAATGCAAAAACCAGGTTTAATTCTGGATATACAAGCCTAGGCAGGGACTTTGTCCAATACATCCAATGCAGTTGGAGGCTGGAGGAAGTGCCCGCCTGTCTGCAAGCTCAGTTTTTAAAGGGAAAAGTCACAAGGTTACATCATTTAGGGGTGCTAGTATGGGTACAATTCTGAATGGCTCGCTTCTAGGGACTTCTAGAAATTACTTCTAAAGGAGTGGTTGCCCGCCACCATTTCTCATTGGCTGCCCTCAGGTGGGGGCATTTCTGTGGTCAGTTACCCTGGAAACCAGGGAGGACATTCCATAGTCTGGTAGGTATTACCTCGTGACTATCTTGTGACTCTGTACTTTTACACTTCCTGGTTTCTGGAATCTGAATTGACTGGTTTCAGTAACTAATGGCTTATTCCCAAAAGGAGAAATCTTAGGCCTTAATTTTAGGGTGAAATCATTTTGGTCTTATTTCTAAGATGGCTCATTTTGGTCTCACAAAAGAAAAGAAAGATATGTTCTCCGCCTCAAAGAACTACTCACTGAATGGTAGGGACAGAGAGAGTCCCACAGAAGTGCTTACAGAGTCTTAAACAGTGTTATGACAGCTAGTTTGGGGTTAACAGGAACGGTCCTTTTCTTCCCAACCTTGTTCTTCCTTCCTGGGGTTAGTTCTTAAAATCATTTACGGCATCTAAGTGGAAGGCTGAGGCTGAGAGACGCTGCCAGCTACGGCCACGAGAACATGTTAAGATACCGAACAACACACCGCCTAAGATGTGAAAGATGTGCAGATGAATAAGGCCGAGGACTCACTTTTCCAAGCCTACCCTTGGGTTCATGTGCCTTCTCAGGTACTGGTGAGCACAGCAGAAGTGGGAGCTCCTCCTGGCCCTTCTACAGACAGAATTCTGAGTGACTTCTATGACACCTGTCCTGTGGATAAATGCCTTCAACATTTCCTCCTTTGGATGACGACCTGGACCCTCCAAAACAATGTGACTTTGTTGTTCTAGTGTTTTATGTTATTTGACAAAAGTGAAGGTATCTAAAAACTCTTAGCAGGGTCACAACCCTGATGATTCCGATTAGTCAGGAAGGATATTGTCCTGAGAAGTTATAAGGACATGAAAGTCATTCAATAGAGACCGAGCCCTTCCCCAGAGAAGCAGAGAACTGGGGTCCTGATGGATACATGGAAGTGGTGAGCTGCCCTGTTGTGAGGACCAGTGGATGCTCTCCTCTGAACTTCTTCCCTCTACCATGCTATGTCGAATTAAGCTATTTCAAAGTATTTTTCTGTGACTCATTGCATTTCAAATTTTCTTAAAGGTAAAAACAAAACAAAAAATCCTTAGAGTGATATTTTTAGCAACTTGAACTCTTACATAATGCTCAGATGTTTTTGGAATAAAATGTAAATTTCAAAAAAAAATCATTTACAGCATCTAAGATACGAGTTTCCTGTACAAGATTTCCAATAAACTTAAGTGAATGGGTTGAACTCAAGTATTCTCAGGATGATGGGCTTTTTTAATAGTTGGGCAGTATTTGGTGCTGTATCTAGGTGAACACTGGATATTTTTGTAAGTTATGAGTTATTTGTTTATTCAAGTTAAAAGATTATCCAAGACCATCTCTTGGATAATTCTACTAGTATGCTGCTAGGATTTACCTTTAGAGATGGGCTGAGTAGTATTGCCTTGGATCAGTTCCTCTGAACTTGGTGTCTTTGCTAGTAAATGGCATGCCTGGATAGGTCATCCCTGAGGTCTCACACAGCTCCAACATTCCTGTACTTCCTTGATGCCTGCCAGGAGAGGCTCCTCCACCTTGCTTATGTAGCCCATCACTCAGTTCATAATGGTTATTAGTGTCCATGGGATCTAATGGCTTAGCATTCAGAAAGTGTGTGTGTGTGTTTCACTGGTTAAACCAGTCTCTTAAAAAAAATACCCACATGAAATAAAAGCCCGCTATAACTTTATTAGCTGATTATACCAGTAAGCATCTATTTGGCATTGCTCTCCAGGCTTTTATTGAATTAAAGCAATTCTAATTCTCTCATCTGTGTTAGCATATAAACTTTCAACCCCACTAGTGAAAATTCTTTTCAAATGTATTTTGAGATGGAAAGCAGACGGGGCTTTCATCTTCAGATGGTTTAAATATACATTGTTAAGCTGTAAATTATGAGTAGTTTTAAAATTGAAGTTTCTTTCTTAAAATTCATTTCGTTGAATTAAACCATTGGGTGCTTTGGAATAAAATGGAATATATGCTGCACAATTAAAGAAAGTTCTTTTCATTCACAGAATTTCACAAGTGTGCAAAAATATAGACAAGATCATTAACTCGGCTGGCTGTTCATGACACTTCTCTAAGGGAAGGTAAAATGATGGCGTTCAAAACATTTTGTTTAGAAGATTCAAGTTCCTTAAGTATTGACAGTGAACGTCTCTGTTAGGTGCCATATTTTTGGGTGAAGCCTGCAATGAGTTTAAATCTGAGAGCAAGTTGTATGCACAAGCAAAGTGTGCCCCTCCCCCCAAGATGTGTAAGTGACCAAGAGACAGCTAGCCAGACAGGACATTTGCAGCCTTTATCTCCACCCTGGTTCCTTTAGGATTTACTCCATGGGCCCCAACAGGAGATTCCTAGTCCTTCAGAACACACCCAGGATTGCCAGTTGCTTACCCATGCCTGTAAGTCAGGGTGTTCGAAGCTGTGAAATATACAAATGCAATAACGATGACAAAGACGTGTGATTTGCTGAAGCCTGACTCTGCCTCAGGCACTGTGAAAATGTAATGAATCATAGCATCCCGGCAGGACGATTCTTTAAAACTTCACATTTCTTGACTTGCTTACCCCCTTGTCATTTTTCTACCAGGCACCCTCAAGAGAAAAGAAAAACAAACAAAAACATTCAGCTGTCGTTCAAATCATATTAGTACTCGGTCATCATCAGTTTGGAACGATAGCTCTAAGTAACAGCGTGATGTTGACTGTTGTGAAAGGGATTCACAAGCATAGTTTGCGTAGCAAACTTTCTCAAAGTTTACAGTCTTGGTAATAACTACATATTCTGTCAACGGATGTAGATAAAAATAACAGGAGAACATCCCCCCCCCACCCCACCCCCCTCCACCCCGGGCCAGTGCTCTCTGTTGAGGGCTCTGTAATTACGTAGGCTAACTGAGCGCTAGCTTGAGCTAATAATAAGACACTGAGTACTCGAAAGCCATAATTACACGACGACACAATGTGCACTTGGCAAGATTTCCAGAGTGAGGGAATCTCTTGTCAAATGGCATCTGGCGGAGTTAAAAGTCAGATTTGGGGGTTAGAATAATTGGTCTAGACTAAAGAACTGTGGCTCATTCGGAGTAAGTTGTATGCCTTAGTCAAACCCCATGATGATGAGTGTGTCCAGCAATAGCTTAAAATCCTAAATGACATGTCATCTTATTTTAAAACACAAAGCCTTTCCAGGCTTGAACACCTGTTATATACCTGTGTGCTTCAACACACATAGACTGTTTTAAAAAATAAAAATCCAAACAGAGAAAGAAGGAATAACCTCACTGTTAGTTGCTCATAGTGGTACATATGATTGTGACACAGAGTATGTTATCTAGACATAGGTACAGTCTCCAATGAATTGGCAATACCACAGACAGTTCTGCTGTCTTAAAAAAAAAAAACCAACTTTACATTAAACCACACTACTCTATTGATTGGTTTGAAGACATTTCCATTCTGCCCCATCCTTTTCCTGGTAAAATAACAGAGAATTGCCTTCACCAAGCTGAGTGTTGTTGTTATACATTAGTCCTTTTTTGATAAACCACTGTATTTTATACTGTGTGCCACTTCTTCTGTGGGTATTACATTCATGCAAACTGGTCCTTCCCTCCTCCCCGTGAACACAGAGAATTCTGTTCCCTCTAAAAGGGCCAGTTGCTGCGTTTCCATTGTATGGTTTATCTCTGAATTCCATTTAGCTTATGAAAACCCTTATGTAGGAATCTGTTTGGTAGTGTTTAAGGTATATTTGCTTAAATTTCACCAAGTACCACACACTTTTCTGGTAGAAATTACTTATGGCTTAACTGAGTTTTGGACTTTCTAGGAATGAATTTTGATTCTGTGAAGGGGCCCCCAAAACACCTTGACCACACAGCAGCCATGACAGGCTTAGGGGCCTAGACACAGCTTCTGTGACAGGCTTACTGGCAGGCAACACCCAGATCCAGGAAAAGCCTTAAGCTGATACCACCCAGGGATCCACCCAGGGATGAGGAAGTACCTGACATCCTAAACATTGCAACCATTAGATAAGGTGGCCAGATGTCCCTGAGTCTAGCACACACCTGTTTTTGTTTTACAGATACCCCTAGACAATTGTCAGCCAATCTGGGTCCTGGACCCTGGAAATCCCCTCACCCCAACCTCTGCTATGATAAAAACTCTGCCCCACCTGAGCTCAGGGCTCTCTGTTCTCACCGCTGCGTCGGACAGACAGAGGGACCAAGCTCTGGAGCTTGAAATAAAGGCTCTTTGCTTTTACATGCGGGACTCGGTCTCCATGGTGGTCTTTTGGGAATCCCCATGATCTGGGCATAACAATTCCAACTGATTTTGTTCTTCCTTCCTCCCTCCCTTCCCCCTTTCTTCTCTTCCTTCTTTTCTTCTTTCCTTCCTTCCTTTGTTCTTCCATTTTTTTTCTTTCTCAATGTGTGTATATGTTGGTGTGTGTGTGTGTGTGTGTGTGTGTGTGTGTGTGTTTGTGCGCGCATACTCAAGCATGTGCATGTCAACCTTGGATGTCATTCCTTGGGAGATGTCTGCCTTGTTTTTGAGACAGTGTCTCACTAAGTCTAGGGCTCACCAATTAGGCCGAGCTGGCTAGACAGTGAGCCGTGTGCCCGACCCTTCACCCGCTAAAACCATCACCCCAGCTCCTGTCCCTCCTTCCAAACTGATTATTTTCAAGAACTTGCCTCTAAATGCACCTAGATTTCTCATGACGGTTGTGAGTCATATCCAACTTGTTTACATAGAAATCTTTTCCAAGATTTTTTTTTTTCCGGAGAGAGCATAATTTGATTTCGTACAGTTTGTTCAGTTCAGGAAATGACTTGTGTATTTTGATGAAATTAATCTCTTAGCGGTGAATCTGGATCATCCAGAAGCCACGGTCAGTCTGAGTTGATCGGTTTTGAGAAGTCTCCATTCCAGAAAGCACTCAGGAGATTCACCCCCTCCTCCTATTTGATATGTGGGTTTAAATTTTTTTTTCCCATTGTGAATACTGGTGAGGATATTGTGGGGTTAAATACAGCTGTTCAAAAAGAGAAATCAGGCTGAAGAACACTGGTTACCTCTGTGCTTGCCGAGGCAAAGGAACACAAGCGCTTTCTCTCTTTGGTAGCATGGCACATTCCAAAAAACCAGTTTGATCGTGTATCTCAAAGGAATCCACATAGGGATGTATTGGGCAGAATTGAACAAACTGATAACTGAAATGCAAAGCAGAAACTATCTGTGTCATTAAAACCGACCAAGTGATTATTAGAACATGCTCCACCGTGGTTCAGCTTGCTGTGGTTCTTGCTAATGCTGACCAATGCTGTTGGTTTATTCTCTTGTATTTCAGAGAGAGTACAGTTCCTTTCTCTCTCTCTCTCTCTTTTTTTACTTTGTCTTTTCCTCCCTTCCTCCTTTCCTCTCTTCCTTCTCTTACTTCATTTTTTGAAGATGAGCTAATCTGATGGGAGCCATAAGCCTAAGTGACCCTTGACACACATGCCACCATATTTGGGCTTCTCTCCTCTTTTTCTAGATCTAGGTCTTGCTTAAGTCTCCATAGCACCAGAACCTCTTCTCAGAAATCAGGTGACCACGCTGCAGTTAGGCAGTTAGGTAAGAATAGATAGATAATCCCCATAGCAACATTCCCTGCTGGCAGAACAACCCATGATTAAAGTCCCCTCCCTGCTTGCACCCCCCTTTGCCCCTGCCTCTATATGCCTTAAGAGGAAATAAAATTTTAGAGCTTGATTAGATGTCCTGTCTTGCTCTCATTCTTTGTGTCTCTTGTCCCTCTCATTCGCCAGCCCTCCCTTCAGGTCCCCGTTGAAGAACCCGCTGGCCAGGGCAATAATCTATAAGAAAGGCAATAGATCTGGTAAGAGAAGTTAGCAAGAATGCTCAGATAATATAAGATCCACTCAAAAACAACCCATGATGTTCCCCTGCATCAGCAATAATCAGTGAGGACTATAATAGGTTCTGTGATGCCAGTCATGACAGCAAACAACTTTACAAATAGACCAGCAATGGGACAGAGGTCAAGAGTACTGTAGAGTCGGGCGGTGGTGGCGCACGCCTTTAATCCCAGCACTCGGGAGGCAGAGGCAGGTGGATCTCTGTGAGTTTGAGTCCAGCCTGGTCTACAAAGTGAGATCCAGGACAGGCTCCAAAAATGCTACACAGAGAAATCCTGTCTGGGGGGGGGGTGGGGAAGAGTACCGAAGAGATCCTATAGAGTCAAGATGTCAGGGTATTAAGGATAGATGGCTTTCACAAGGAAGTGTGATTTGATGGTGCTAGCTTTAGACATCAGCTGCTGAGGGGGGAATATTAGAGAGAGAATATTATGTAGAAAGACTGTCCCCCCAAAGGCCTCATGGGTTTTTACTCCCCTTGCAAAGCAAGCTGCTGTCTCGGACTACTTATCCAGCCGTGTCCTGTAGTGAACTGCTTTGGAGGACAGAAATAACAAGGGGCATATAATGTTTCCAGAACATTAGAGTAAAAATAATGTCTCCTTTCAGGTCAAAGATCAGCTGAGCTTATGAGTAAGAAATCACCCCATGAGATGTGTGTGATTAGCACTGTTGGCCTGTCGAAGGCAGATCATGGTGCATGAGGGGGTAAAAAAAAGAGTAGGATGCTTCCAGAAGCCCACGGAGTTCTACACCTCCTCCTCATCCAGGAGCACAGGTTGTTTCCCCCACTTTGATGAATTCACTCCTAACGAAGAAGCTGTCGAGTCCAGGGAATGTGGGCGAAGGGACTCTGAACCCCTCCAGTTTAGTCTTGTTCTCGGGATTATTTGCTCATGTTTTCAATCTGTAAATTACAAATGCAAAGTAATACTGTGTTTTTACACAGCTGCAGATACATTCAAGGGTCTATATGGCTGACAGGCTAGGATGAGTTCTTATAAACAGAATAGGGGTGTAACTGGAGTTTTCTCTCTGGGTCTCGCCAAGCCCCAGCAGCCCCTTAGCCCACTTATAAAATAAACATACCGACGCTTATATTATTTAAACTGCTTGGCCATTAGCTCAGGCCTATCATTGTCTAGCTCTTACTCTTATATTTAGCCCATTTCTATTAATCTATACTTTGCCACTTGGCTCGTGGCTTACTGGTACCTTACATCTTCCTTGTCCTGGCTGGGGCTGTAGGCAGTCTCTCCCTTCCTTTCCTGTTCCCTCAATTTTCCTCTCTGTTAGTCCCACCTATACTTCCTGTCTGGCTATTGGCCAATCAGTGTTTTATTTATTAACACATTTGCCATACAGAACATCCCACAGCATAGGGGTGAATTGAAGAATGAGGGACAAAGAAGCCATATCATCAAAGGGCAGTCTTAGGAAGAAGGATGATGGCAGCCTGCCAGAAGTAACGAATCCCCAGACCAAAGCCACATAGGTCTGTCTGTCTGTCTGTCTCTCTCACTCTTCTATTTGTTGTTTTGTTTAGTGTTTCAAACTAGCCAACCATGGCTGAGGATGACCTCACACTCCTGGCCTTTTTGTCTATACCTCCCAAGTGCTGGAGTCAAGGATCTATTGCTAGTGCACTGGAACCGCTCCCCACGCTTGGCATCATTAGTACATGTCTGTGATTCAAGCACTTGGGAGGCTGAGGCAGGAGGATTACTATGAGTTGGAGGCAAGTCAGAGTCAACTAATGAGATTCTATCTCCAAAACAAATGAAACAAACCCCTCACCCCACCCCCAGCGCCCACCCCCCACCCCCACCCCCGAACTGATCCCTACCTGAGGTGAAGAAGAGTCTGGGGATGTGGATCAAAAGCAGAAAAGGAAAAGACATCAAAGGCAGACACAGGTGATGCTGGCATACCACATAGTTTGTTTGTTTGTTTTTTGAGACAAGTTTTCTCTGTGTAGTTTTGGTGCCTGTCCTAGATCTTGCTCTGTAGACAGACCAGGCTGACCTCGAACTCACAGAGATCCTCCTGGCTCTGCCTCCCGAGTGCTGGGATTAAAGGTGTGCACCACCACTGCCTGGCTGACCAAGTAGTTTAATAATGGTAAGACTAAGTGAAACCCTGTCGCAGGAAAAAAAAAACAACAACAACAAAAAAGTAAACTCCGGAGCTGGGGCTGGGCAGATGGTTCAATAACTTCGAACATTTGCTCTTTTTGCAGAGGACCAGTGAGCAGCTTTGCCTATAACTCCAGTGTCGAGGCATGCAAGCCCTCGTCCGATCTCCAAGTATATATGTATACCATGTATGTGGTATACATACATGCAGGGACTCACACTGATGCATAAAAAGAGATAAATCTGTAAAAAAAAAAAAAAAGGTTAAGTAAACAAGTCGAGTGAGGTGGTTCATGGGTAAAGGCACACGTGACCACACCCAACAACCTGAGTTCGATTCCCAAGAGTCACAGAGTGGAAAAAGAGAAGTGACTCCTGTAAGTTGTCCTCTGACCTCAACATACGCACTGGGACATAGACACATACACATAAACAAATGGAATGACAATGAAGAAAATTAATCCAGATGCGAGCCTTAAAGTGTCTCCCGCCAAACACTAAAGGATGAACTAAGTCTCAAAGGAATAAAATACATAGGAATAAAAAGATAAGGAAACCAAACACTGAACCAAATTTATAATACCCCACAACTAATAACCGGAATACTTCCTTCAGTGGAATGAGACTTCTCAGCAGTCCTGACAATATCTTTTTGGGTAGCAACTTGGTGGGTTATAGCTCCCTTAAATCTACGGCACATTTTATTAGTTCTGTGCCAAAGAATTCCAGGGACCAGTGTTAACCCCTTCTGTACTATGACAGAGAAATAGTCAAGAGCATCTGGAATCAAACCTTAGCCTCTGAGAGCAAGACCACACTTAGGGAGAGAATTAACAAAATCCCTTGGTTTCCTTGGCCCTTGCCCTTATCCAAACAGGCCCTCAGTTTTCTCTAGAGGCCTCAGAAAAACAGCCCAACCTGCCAAACACAAACAAGTACGTATAAAGGTCCCTGTGGTATCTCTCTTATGTGTTCCCAAACAAGGCCACTCTGTTAACTCACTGTAAGATTCAGCTTCTGTCCCTTCTACTCCAGTGGACTTGCCCACCTCTGTCTCTAGAGAGAGCTGGTCTGTGATACTCTGTTGCCCCCTGCCCCTGGGTTCTTCCTGTGTTCCACTGGCTATTCATTCCTGATGCTTCCAATGATGAGAGATCCTGGCTCCGGGATCTGGTAACGCGGGGACATCTGTGAAACATCTTCCTCCCTGGAGAAGCTCATCAGTTCATTACCTTCTTACCAAGTTTGGGTGGCAGAACTCTTGGCTTTTACTTTAAAGGTCTATCCACTAGCCGCCGGCCAAAATGTGGGTCTGCAGGGTCTCATCAAATGGCTAACTGAGCTGAGAACATCGTGTCGTAATGAGGATTGTCCCTTTGGTTTGACATCTGTTTCCTCTTCCAGTGACAATTCTCTTCCCCTTGGCTCTGTGAGCGGACTTCCTGGAAATGCACCTCACTGCTCACCCGAAAACCACAGCGTAAACTAGAATGCATGGAAAGATGCTGCCTCCGTGGGCTGATCAGTTGACAAAACCTTCAGTGGATGTGGAAAGTTTGGAATGTTGCTGATCCTGTGGCTTACCTATCATTTCTTTGCTCCTGGATTTCTTGCCCACCCCAGTGTTGGAACTAACATCCTGTGACTAACAGATTAAAAAAAAAAAGTTAGACTTTATTAACTTAGCAAGCCTCTAGTTCCTACCAACTAAAAAGCGAATGTCATCAGATAGTGTCTATGGCCTGTAGCTGAGACTCCCCCGTCTTTCTGTAAGCACCACTCTGACGGATGCACGGACTATTTTTGAATTGCCTTGATCTGTGACTTTCCCTGATCTGCTACCGCTAAACTTCATTCAGCTGCTTCCCCATTGGGAACATGGAATCTGGGGCATGGTCACCCAAATTTGGCTCTGGAATAAACTCTGTCTTACTCCCTTTATGGTTGAGAGTTTGTTTTCCTGCGCCAACCACAGGAGTGTCTGGATTCCACTTACGTTCAGAGTGGGACTCTCTCCAACATAAATTATAAGAGCAGGAAGAGGGACATAGCTACCTCCACTTCCTGTTTCCTGACGCCACCTCCGGGCTCCCACGGCCCCACCCGCACCCCAGCTGTAGATGGTAGGGTTTCATCTGAAACTCTGAAGGCCAGCCATGTTGTCTGGGTACAGACCAATGGCCCAGAAGAGGAACCTTCCTGTGCAGTAGAGATTTGAGGGCGACTCCACTTTTTCATATTCATATTGCTTTCCTCGTCCTTGAGTTATTCTAACTCCAGGAAAGTGTGTGTGTGTGTGTGTGTGTGTGTGTGTGTGTGTGTGTGTGTACAGTTCCTGTTAGACAAAAAGAGGAAATAACTATTTCTGTGTTAGGTAAGAAAAGGAAGCAAAGGTTACGCCATCAGATGGGAGTGCCAGGTGCAGAAAGAGAAAACAGTTTGTAATGGTTTATTTCACTAACAAAGCTAGGGGATGCATGAATGTAGTCGATTCCCAAAGCCGTGTGTCTCTTTGATTTTGTTCGTATTAATGGGCGCTTGGGTGGCTGGTGCTGGCAGAGGTAGCTGTCCTCTGATGTGGTCACCTGTTACGGTTCTAGCCGGAGTTATTGGTGTCTGGCTCTTGCCTGGAACAGGGGTATCAAGGCAGACACCCCTTGTTGCTAGTCTGAGTGATGTGGAGGCCAGAGAGAACCCACGTGAGTTTAACAATGTGGATTCAGGACTTGCATCAGGGGCATAATTCATGCTGGCAAATGAAAATTATTCATCTGCCTGGGTGATGTTAGAAACGACTTACCGGGGGAGCATCAATTCTAAGTACCAATGGTAGTGCATTAGTACAGTGCAGAGAAGCCACAGTTGAAGGCCGTAAATTGCAAACAGTGACTGCACACTCGGCTGTGAGCTTTTAGAAGCCAGCAGGCGTTAAACTGCTTGCACTTTGGCCACAGATTCTTTCCAAGGAGCTATTTATTCCACGGTTCATTTAGCAGGCCTGGGGAGCAGGAACCCTTCCCCGAAAGGAAAGGAAGGGGAAGATTGATTTAAGCTATTGTTTTATTCCTGGTGAGGAAGAAAGGCGCTGTATTCATGAGTTCGGCATTGAGGGGCTGAATACATAATGCCCCCTCACTGAAACAAAGAACGATAATAGCAATTTCACCTGTTCGGAAGGCCTTGTTTTCTTCCTCCTTGGAGGATTAGAAAGGACTGTAGCTTTACCAGATAAGGGGAATCTGAATCCTTGAACTAGAGCGAAGAAGTAATGAATTTCATCAGCAATCTATATTCCCAAAAATAGCTTAGAGCTGCTTCCTATAAAGAAAAATGTTTACTGGATGGAAATTTTATTACCTGGATATTGCATCTGATGGCACCAAGCGCATCCTTTGCAAGCGAAGGTCCTTCTGCCCAAGCTTGGTCTGGATCCTTTTACTAATAGATGCGATCAAAGTTTTTGGAGTACAGTTTGATTTTTTTTTGGGGGGGGTGTTTTTTTTGTTTTTTTTTTTTTGAGATGTTTCTCTGTGTAGTTTTGGTGCTTGTCCTGGATCTCACTCTGTAGATCAGGCTGGCCTCAGATTCACCTGGCTCTGCCTCCCGAGTGCTGAGATTAAAGGCATGCACTACCACCGCCCAGCCAATTTTTTTTTAAATGAAATTAATATCTTAGACTTTTCTTTTTCTTTCTTTCTTTCTTTCTTTCTTTCTTTCTTTCTTTCTTTCTTTCTTTCTTTCTTTCTTTCTCTCTCTCTCTCTTCCTTCCTTCCTTCCTTCCTTTCTTTCCCTTCCTTCCTTTCTTCCTTCCTTCCTTCCTTCCTTCCTTCCTTCCTTCCTTCCTTCCTTCCTTCCTTTCTTTCCTTTTTTTTTTTGGGCCATTTCATTCAGGGTATCAGTTTGATGTAGCAACAGTAAGGGAAAACTAGTTTCTTCTGGTCAAGAGGATGAAAAGGATTTCCCTGGCCTTGGTGTAGACCTAACATTCCAAGCTCCCAACAAGATAATACATAAATCCAGAAATTCATCCAGTTATGCCAATCAATTTCCTGGCCCAGTGACCAACCTTTATGAAGACAGGCCCACAGTGAGGTAGGTGAGCTCACTTTAAGGCAGAGGTTCTGAACCTTCCTAATGCTGCGACCCTTTAATACAGTTCCTGATGCTGTGGTGACCCTAGCCATAAAATTATTTTTGTTGATATTTCATGACTGTAATTTTGCTACTGTTATGCATCATAATATAAATATTCATGTTTTCTGATGGTTCAGGATTATGACCCACAGGTTGACAACCATGCCTTTGAGGCCCACTAAAAAAAAAAAAACCAGGTGTGATAATTATTCATTTAATAAGATGCTTTTCCTCTCCAGAATTCCTGCCGCTAGCGTGGGCTCTTACGATACAGCCATGCAGCTTTGTAATTCTGCCTGATGCTCTGAATGACTCAGAAGACCACAGTTTTCCATTTTCTTCTGTGTCTTCTCTAGGCATGTTTTCTTTACCTAACACTTTGGGCTGCTTCTTCTAGAGATCCCTGTGTACCATGAGGCTGCCTGCTGCCAGAGGGCTGGCCTCTGTGCCCTCTTAATTCAAGTGGTCCGCCCCCTTCCCACTTCCCTTCCCTGTCCTCCTCTTCCCGGCTCTACTGAGATAGCACTTGACTTGCCCTCTGGGTGTTTTTTTTTTTTTTCTTTTAAACTCTAATAAAACTGACCTCTTTGAATAAACTTTGGCTTTGATGGACTTTCCAACTTTCCCACCTTTTAATTCTTTGACCGGTTGAGAAAACAAACCCACACTTGCACCTCTAGATGGCATCAAGTTCTTCAGAACACATTGTCCTTCTTCACCCTCTCCTAAACCGATTTAAAATGAGTCAGATACTTGGAAGCAGGAGAATGGAAGAAACCTCCATCAGGGCTCAGCCTTTAGACACAGTTGTTTCTGTCTTGGAGACAGGGTTTTGCTAGGTAGCCCAGACAGGAGCTGCCCTTGAAGCAATCCTCCTGCCTGAGTCTCTGGAGAGCAGAGATTGAAGGGATGCATCCTGAGGCCTGGAGTAAGACTCCTGAATTTTCCTTGAGACTTGGGCACTGACTGCTTTTTCTAATGTGTGTTTGCCATCGTCTCAAAAAGCCTGCTCCTCCAGTATCCCACGTACTGATGAAAACAAGTCTCGGGAGAATGGGTTAAGGAGGCACCAGATTAGATTACTTCACCTCTGATGCCTCTGCCCACCGCTCTCCTGGCCCACCGGCAAATAAACCTCATCGTCTGTTTTTCTCTTGGCATTGGTGTTGTGGAATATCACTTTAACTATGTAAAGATGTGTTGCATTTATTTATGTTACAGAATATTACTTTAACTGTGTCAAGGTGTGTTGCATTTGTTTATGCTGCGTTTGTTTAATGATGTAAGGAAGTGTTGCTGTTTTACATTGCCTGCCTGAGGCACCTGATTGGTCTAGTAAAAAGCTGACAGGCCAATAGCTAGAGAGGAGAGGGATGGGTGGGTCTGGCAGGCAAAGAGAATAAGTAGGAGGGGGGATCCAGGCTTGAAAGAGAGGAAAGATGAGGAAGAGAGAGGCCTGGGGCCAGCCAGACAGATAAGGAAGCAGGAAGATTAAAAAAAGAAAAAGTAAAAAGCCCCGGGGGCAAAATATAGATAAAGAGAAACAGGTTAAATTATAAAAGCTAGGTAGAAATGAGCATAAGCTAAGGCCGAGCATTCATAACTAGTAAGTCTCTGTGTCATGATTTGGAGGCTGGTGGTCCAAGAAAGCCTGCTACACATTGGTTTAGTCACTAGAGAGCTAGGATGATTTACTCTCTGGTTTTACGTTTGTTAAATGGTGGGAGCATATTTTTCTCAGCGATATATATCTTGTCCTGCTGAGGGGAGCACAGCGAGATTAAGTCAAGATGCGATTAATATTTCACAGGCGTGTTTTAGAAAAAATTACAACCGAGTTCACAGCACGCTGGAACTTTTGTTCACTTAATCAAATATTTCTGGTATTCCTGCAGCTGCCTATGACGTGTATCTTGAGGGTGCGTGCGTGCGTGCGTGCGTGCGTGTGTGTGTGTGTGTGTGTGTGTGTGTGTGTGTGTGTGTATGGGTACACTAGCAGTCCACCTGGGTGTCACCAGTGGCTACAAAGTGGATATTTTCTTTTACTGAGTTCTTACCTGTTGGTGGTTTTTAATGTTCTCTCCAGAGATCAAAGTTCAGTCACCTCTAGGATTTTCTCTGTCCAGAGAAAATCCTGGACCTTTCTCTTTTCTGTTTGTTGATTCTTTTTCTGCCCCCTGTCTTTTTTGCCTCCCCATTCTCCTTTCTCTGAGAGCTGTAGACTGCTGTGCCTTACCCTGCTTCCTCCTCAATTCTCCTCCCAGGCTCCCCCATAACCTTTGGAACTTTCTTCCAGCTGGGTGGGATGCCTGAGCCGTTTCTGGTAGATGAGACACATGCTGTTTTTAAACCTATTGATTTTGACAAGAAATGGTTAGAAGCCTGAGGTATATGCCCCCCAAAGGGGACCCCGAATAACAAGAGAGAAAACTTTTCCATTTCTGTCATGTCAACCTTTTAGCGTATTTGAAGATTTTAAACAAGCCTTATTGGTAGCACTGGTATGCATCAAGCGATTTCTAGAGAATTATCTCATCACCGAGGCATCTCCCTAGCCCCGCGTCAAACCATGTTGAGCTCAGCTTTGGCTGGTCCTTTTGGTTACAACTTCTCATTTCTGGTAGCTCCAGCCTGTGTGTTGGCCTCCAGGCCCCTGAGGAGACGGAGAGTTACACAAAGCCACAATGAGCCACACCTAGCTAAGATCCACAGTGACACCAGGAACTTGACAATATTGATTTCCTTGAGCTAAATGTGCCCAAGGACTTTTAATTGTGACTTTCAGAC